CACTGTGTCTCTCTCACATCAGTGTTTTTCTCTCTCTCTCCCTTCTACTCTCTCTGAAAGGAAATGGAAAAAATAGCCTCAAGTGAGGATTTAAAAAAAAATTATATGTATATATATATAATTGACTTTGTTTCATGTGTGTTTCTGTTTGAAAGGACATATTCAATATATATTGTTGATTCATTAACACTGAACTCGCAGCCATGCGAGTACAAAGCTTATATAACACATGTATTTTCTCTGGAAGGCACAGCACAGCCTTCTTGCACTTGGGGACAATAGACAGCACTTCAGCACTATTCTTGGGGACCATTTTAAACAGTAAAATCACCAATCAAAAAAAAAAAGCACAAAAATGTGGGGGAAAAAACAGCACTAAGTAAACTGCAAAAAGGGCATTTCGGTTTGAGAGCTAAAACGAGGAGGCAGAGCATCACTTTGTTGGAACTCAGCTGAAAGCCAACAGGTGTGTCGGGCAACTCAAATTTTTCACCACTCCACGCACGTTCCTGAATGACCACAGAAACAAGCGAGTATTGCTGCTGGAGTTACAGACAAATTTTAGAAAGTAGGTGAATTCACAAATATGGAATCCGTGAATAATGAGGACTAATTGTATTTATGGAGAAAATTTAAAAGTCTTATAAAAGGACCAAAAAAATGAAGATGGAATATGGTCATGAATGGGAATAATTATAATTATAAAAATTATAATTATATAAATTTATAAGATGCCAATTTTACCACAAATTAATTCCATCAAAATCCCAAAGAGTATTTTTTAGGAACTTGACAAGCTGATCCTAAAATTCATTGGGAAATGTAAAGAACCAAGAATCACTAAAATCATTTTGAAAAATAAGGTATAGAGACTTATGCTCTCATATATTAGAACTTAGAATAAAATTACATTATTTAAGATAGCATGATTTTGACACAAGCCTAGACAAATAAAACAGAGAAATGGGAATAAAAGACAAGAACTGACAAACTTAAATAGAAATGTTCTTCATGTCTAAGATGATGCTACAAATTAGTGGATCATATTTGTAAAATATGATCAAGAGCAGTAAATTATCCAGGTAGAAAAAATATCCCTACTTCACATCATATTAAAAATAAATTGGAGGGGTGGGGGGAATCAAAGACCAAATATAAAAGTCAATGTTTAAAATATTTAGAAAAAATAGAGAAGATAACCTAATGACTTCTAGGTAGAGACGTATCCATTTAGTAGGACCAAAGAAAAGCACATACTATAAAGGAAAAGATTAATAAATTCTACATTAAATTTTTTTAAGCCTCTGTTGACTAAAACACACCACATGAAGTTAAAATGCAGTGTATGGGTGTGGGGAAAGTATTTGCAATACACATAATTCTTTAAAAAGTTAATATATAAGATTTGTATAGAAATCCTACAAATGAATAGGAAAAACACAAAAATGGATTTGAGAAATAGACAGAGGATATGAATGAACAAACGATACTCAGCAGAATTAGGAATCAGAGAAATGCAAATCTCATTCAATTTCATTTCTTACTCATTTGATTGGCAGCAATTAGAAAGCCTGATAATCCCACTTTTTGGTAAGGACGTGAAGGAAGGAGAACTCAATGCTGCAGCAGGCTCGTAACAGCAAAAGCCTGGATACTGCCAAAACATCCACCAACACAGATTCAATTCATTAGGATTATAGTCACCCAATAAAATACCACATAGGAGCTAAAATAGATATGTTTATAAAAATAAGATGCAGAATGATATGTAAGAATTTCATTTATATAAAGTTATTTCAAAAAGCAATACCACCTACTACTTACTTATGTATATGTGTGTCATAACAGTACAAAATTCATGGAAATGGTGAACTTCCAATTTAGGATAGTGGTTTTTCTGGGGAAGAGAATAGCATTGGGGAGGGCCAGTTATACCTACCGTTTATTATTATATTTTTTAATCTATAGCAAAAAATGGTAAAAGGTTAAGAGTTAACACATAGAGATGGGGTGGGTGTTTGTTGTAGTCTTCTCTATAATTTTCTGGGTGCTGGTAGTATTTAACTTAAAACATGTTAAAGTTCATTGAAGTTCTAAATGCAGCACCTGCTGTTAAAATTTAGAGCTTGCCATTGAGTTCTATAAATAAGATAACAGAATGTATGAATTACACTTAATCCTCTAATTACTCTCAACTTTAATCAAGCTTTTATTAACATAATGTGTCTAGCTTGGGGTCTTAACCGGAGAGGGGAATTAGGGGAGAGTAATAAAAACAAAGAAAAATAAGCAGGTAACATAAAGAAAGGGAAAAGGAACTGGGATGATTTAGACTAAAGGGAAGGAAAGGGGACAATCTATTAAGGAGAATGCATAGATTGCTCTTTTTATACTGAAGTCTGTGCCTCAATTAAGTCCTGACTAAAATGAGCTGTTTTGGTTATCTATTGCTACGTAGCAAACCACTCTAAAACAGAATAGCTTAAAGCAATAATAATCATTTATTTTATTCTTCAATGTGTAATTTGATCAAGATTTCCATGAGAATGGTTCTCTGGCTCACCTGGAGCTGGAAGATGCAGTTTCACGATGACTAACTCCCATTTTAGCAAGTTGGTGCCGGCTATTGGCTGGAGCTATGGGGCAGGACCTTGGGCCATGATCCTTGTGGGCCTCTTCTTGTGGGATTCTCCAGGGCTTCTTGGACTTCCTCACACCATGAAGTCTGGATTCCAAGAGGCAGAGTCCCATTGGAGAAATGCATGACATTTTTACATACTATCCTTAGAAGTCACAGAGTATCATTTTCACTGAACGCTGTTGGTCCGGGTAGTCACAAAGACCCACCTAGTTTCAAGGGGAGGAAAGGCACACTCCACCTCTTGATAGAGGCGTGGCAGATTTGTAGAACTTTGAGTGGAAAAATACTGTTGCAGCCATTTTTGTAACACACAATTGCCCCACTGACCTCCCTCCTCAAATCTCTCTCCAAGTTGATCTATTTTTCTCACTTCTCCCAGAAAGAGATGTGATCACGTCATTCTCTTGTTCAACAACAGGGGAGATTGTTCTCTTCACCCCACAAAATCAGGATTGTGGAGCTGCAAGTCTTCATGGAGTCAAAAGTCCATAATAATTCATTAAGGGGTCTTGAAATTTTCACTTCTGTGACCAAAACTTAGGAAAGGCTGACCAAAAATATTGGTGCTTCAGTTGCTTCTCTACTTGGGTTTAGCTAAAATAATATGACAGGACATTCATATTTCATGGACCCTGGCGTCAAGTCCATGCACAGGTATATCAGCAACCCAGGTGAATTTGGAAGAACTCACACGGCAGTATTTCTGCCACACTCTAGACATTCAAACAGAATGTAATTCACCAAACAAATCAGATTTTTTAAATTGTATAACCCAGAAGAAGACAAGATAGGCCTGAGAAAGTTTTTCTTTCCATTTCTTTCTTTAATTTGTTTGATTTGGGATTTTTCAGCACAACAGTCAAAAGTGGTATTTGTCGATTCAAGGACCTGACAGATGTTCACAGCATTAGGTTTCCATTTTTCCCCAACCCACCAAATGAATACATTACCTTCTTGTTCCTTTCCTATACTTGGAAAATTAACTACCATTTCACACTGGAACAAGTTCTCCCACTTCTTTCTTGTTGAAACTGTTAAGCATGCTACCTGAATGGGTACCAGCTGTGGTTGACTGACGTGTGAGGCTGGTTTGCCCTAGGAATAATTTGAGTAAGATGGTTCTTGGACTCTACCTCTATTAGACTGAACCATATTAAGTTGCTGTTTTGGCCAACAGAAAATAGAAATTTCAAATATTTTGATATATAATCATTGATCAGATTGAGAAATGTCCTTGCAGAACCCAAGAAGTCAAGGATTTGATTCAAGATCAGTCTAGAATGAGCCCTAACTAAAGATCCAAACTGCTTTTCCATTCACATAATGTTTTAATATACAAGCCCAGGAAAGTGGTACCATTGAGTTAACCAATTGAGTTCTATATGAGGGGGCCCACCTATAGGGAAAAAAAATAAGAAACCCTTGTTTAGCGAGACTTTTTAGCTGCAGTGATGTTATTGGTTAGACATTTTATAGATTTTTTAATAAACCAAATTTTACTGGGGTGGTTGAAGATTTTTGTTTCATAATCTGTGAGTAGAGAAACTAATCCTGAAGTATCCCAGAAGTCAGAAGTAATGAAAAGAATCCTTAAGCAATACTAAATAAGTACTTAATACTATAATTATGATCCATAAAATAGATATCCACAAAAAATATGACCAAATGATTGGAAATTATGATTAGTAAAATGTAAAAGGCTGTGGCAGAGTTTAGAAGGTAACCACCTATTTCAGTTGTTCTTAAAAAATACCATATGCTAAGAAAATTAAAATGAGATATGTAATTTAAAAATACATTAAACTTCATTTGATAATCTTTGGGAATAAGCATAGGATTAGGATAAAGTTTAGAGGAGTACAAAGTTTACCAGAATGGCTAAATTTTCTGATTAAGTGTTAGCATTTCTCATGCCTTTTTATAAAGCTCCAATTCTACTTGGTATGTTCCTAGTTGTGTGGTTTAACACTGTAAGGGTAAAAATTACATTGCATCTAATATGCACAATATATTACTCTGAACTTCTAAGTAAGTAGCTAATAGCACAACCCTCTGGATATGTGAGGCAAACTGTTTTATACACCAACCACCCAATTCCGTCCCAATGTTCTTCTAATCACAGTTTGTCCAGATAGAGAAATATGAGGGCAAATTCACACTTGTTTTTTCACATGTGGTGACGAGAACCCTATGATATACATTTGAATCTATACTATTCATGTTTCTTTGAATTCCTGAAAACATGCATACTTTGCCCTACCTTATCTTTAAGTAACACATTTCGCAGCATTTCTGAAAGTGTGCTTCATGGAAGCCTAGCTCCACAAGATGTTAATAAAGTTATGATGACGTAAAAGAGTTGCATGTCAATGCCTGGTTAAGCAAATTTATTACATATATTTCCTAAATGTATACATACACACGTATATATAAAATAAAAATAAATTTTCTGGGGTCTATATCACTATAAAATAGGATATGAACAGCAGAATGCACCCAGGTTTTCTTAAAAAAAAAAAAAAGAAAGACTACAGTGCCAGTCTTCTGCTGTTATTTTTCATTTTCATGTAGAATGTAGCTCTTGAACTTATATAGCTAAAAAAAAAAAAAAAACCATTATTTTTTCATTTAGGTGATTTCTTAAAAGCTTTTCTGTACAAAACCTTAAATGATTTTCAGTAGAGATTTTCCCTGTGTCCTTGGACCAATTTCTGATTCTTTTAAGACATGCTCCCCACTGTGATATTAACGTATTACTGTAAGAGTTGTAACAGCAGGAGACAGCTTTTTTATTCCACAGGAGAGATAGAAGGATATGTGCCTACACTTTGTATCAGAATTTCCTTGACATCCAACTTATACTATTGACAGTGTAAGTGCTAGAGTAACAGTTCTCCACTTTAGTGGGCTTTTCATGAACTCAAGGTTGTATAAGCAAAACATAATTTTGTATATCTAATACTCTCATAACTAGTTGTTTATAGATGACTTAAATGTATATATTCAATAAATATTTGTGCTGAGCACTATACTTTTCCCAGGGATACCACAGTAAATAAGACACCATGCCCTTGAGGAGGCCTAATGAAGGGATACAAATAAGTAAAGAGCAAATTTCTAAAAAATGTAATCAATGCTATTGTGTCGTAACCATTAAGTACTATAAGAGCATATACAAGGAACAATGCACACTATGGAGGAGGGTGAGGAGTTTAGGTGAGAGATGGTCCCCAAGGAGATGACTCCTGAGATTAGACCCAAAAGATCAGCATAAATTAGCCAGGGGAAGGAAGTTAAGGTAGATGAGATAAAAGGAACAGTCCAGATGTTCAAAACAATGTGTGAAGCCCTGAGGCAGGACCAGAGCTTCAAGAACCACAGACAAAGATGGCAACAGATGAAATTGGAGAAAAAAGCAGGGGCTAGATTCAAAAACATTTATAGCATAGCGTATAGGACTCTTTCCTGAAACAAGCATAAAGAACTATGCTCGGTATAGGAGCAAATCCTTCACACTCTCTTCGAGCAAGTTCTAATTTTTCTTCATAGAGGAAGTAATACAGTAACACATTTTCATTATGGGTTTACTGTAAGTAAAGGCATTCAACCTCAGGAATCAGTGTGAAAGCAGGTCAGAATACTTGGGGCTGCTGTGTGTTCTGATGAGAAGAAATCATATCATAGGAGCTCTGGGTGGTAGGAGATCAAACTAAAAAGTTATGTTACAGACTAATATCATAGTAAGGATGTGGACTTTAGATGATAAATATGTTATCCAAGTGTTTGAGCACAGGATAGACCTGACTATATGTGTGTTTTACCTAAAATCTGTATTCTTACTTTATTATACTGTGTATGTCAGGAAATATATCACTTGGCTTGAAGCAATTAAAACTTTGCTCTCTTTTAGTTAATTAAGGACCCAAGTTATTTAAATGAGCCACTATGCCTTGTTTTAAAGATTGATGTTGGAGACCACTGCTCTTCAAATTGAAGTTGAGCATTTATTCAGCCTGCCCTCAAGGAGTTCACAGTCTGAAGTTACAACCAAAACTAGCTTTTATAAGCTCCCATTATATTTTTATCTGTTATTGTTCAGTGATGGTATAATTGAACATGCTCCTAATCTCATGATAATCCCCTGGTTCTTTCTACATTTCTCCATCCATGTCTCTGGGTTTCTCATTGAGTAATCACGTTAAGTTAAAGACAGCGATTTAAGTCCACCTATCCATATCCTTTCTCCTACCAAAACTGTCAAGACATCATTTATTTTCTGGAAACCAAAAAGTCCTTTCTACCTCCTTCTCATGAGCAGGAGAAGATCCAGTTTCTACGGGCATGGACTTTATTCATTTGGGGGAGGACAGGACTCCTTAAGAAAATAAGATACAAAATTATGCATACGGATTTTCTAGCTTTTCTCCCTGGAGGAACTTGGAAGGGGTCCTTACAAATAAAGAGCCGAGCTTGATTAGCTTTATGGTAAACTTTCCTCTCTTGAAGAGCAAATATATAAATATGCAAGTAGTTTCAAGAGTTATCAATAAAATGTTTACCTACATGGGACATTTGGGTATAAGAAACGTATCAGAAACATGAAGGCCCCTTAAAGGCCCCTGTTTTCTGCTAATATTCACCCTCCTTTGCCAAAACCTTATCTTGTCATAGGGAACAGTTCTCATCTGAATATTCAATGAATAGAAAACTTGTGTATTGCCTGTCCCCTTTCCCTCTCTCCTTGCCTTTTCACTATTTTTCTGATTCTAGGTTCCAGTCCACAACACTTCAGCAACAAATCTTTACTTCATAGCTGCCCTTTCAATAAGTTCCACCCAGAGAGCTAGGCCATTTTCAAACTCTGGCACCCATATAGCTAAGATAATAAGGTAGACAAGATGTGTTTTATCAGGTAGGAAAAAAAACAACAGGGGGAAAAGAACTGTTTGGACAGTGTCCTTAAAAGTCTGGCTCTGAAGCCAGTGCTGGCTGCTGCGTTTAGCTGCTTAGTTCCCCGGAAACCAGTTGTATGAGGCGGCAGGGAAAAGGCTGTAGACCTCTGGAACGCAAGCAAGTAGCACCTCATTATACAAATAGAAGCAACTCAGCTATGCGTGCCCTCAAACCGAGCTCCGAGTTCCGCTGCATTTCAAAAATATCCATCTGTTCCAAGAGAAGAAACAGGAAGTTTTGTTAATTATCTCTTACAACCCACTAGTTAGTTTCCAGAAAAATCCCTAAAGCCATAGTTCCTGAATAAATTTAACAAGTAAGTTACAAGATGCAGCCCAGTAGATAAACCTTACATTACTCCTTTTAAATGAACCAAATCTATCAGTTAGCTTGTTGCATACTCACTGCCCCTAAGCCCCTTCCCATGTCCTCAGCACTCAGCAGACAAATATTTTCTGTATATGTTTTTTTCATATGATAATATTGACTAATAAAGCAATATCATACTAGAGATATGCAAAACACTACTAAAGATATCAGACAAGCTCTTGAGAGATATTTCTGAATTATTTGCTTTAGGCACAATTTTGCTTCAGGACTCCATTAAAATATCTCATAAGTTTTTGCACTACTAGACAAAATAAATTCATGGGAAATATTTTGTTGTTGGTTATTAGTTCATTTAAATAGGTATCTCTAAAACTTCTTCCCCAGTCCAGTCATGTTGCCTTAACTACGATTCCATGCCAGAGTGTCATAATGGTATTAAGGATACACATGCCCAGTTGGACTCCTGCCATCATTCTATAAATCATTGCCAATTACGCCAATAAAGCAGGCTGGGCAATGATTGATTTCTTAGTTATGTGGTCAGCTGTTCTTCAACACTTCGTTTTTCTTCAACCATGGCTTAGTTTCCTGAAACCACGATGGTTCACATCGCCCCAAAAGAGACATTTGTACACATCTGTTAGCAAGAAAAAGAGTTTAGAAATTCAGTGAGACCTCATTAATCCCATCTAATTGAGGATAACCCAAATTTGTGAAAACTCTGGATTGTAAAAGATATTTTTTAGAATACACAGTAGTTTTTTCTACTTTTATGTATCCAAAACAATTCAAATTAATCTAACAAATAATCACTTTTTAAAGTGCTCAGAGTTTGTGAAATACATGGTAAGTTTATAAAACTGTAACAAATATTTAGCATGCTCATGACAATTGACTGTTGACTAAGATCATTTCACTAGCAAAGAGATAATAGTATGGAATTTTTGAAGCAATAAGCTCTTTTATTTTTAATTAAATTTTTTTTTTGCCAAAACAAATTCATTTTTGATCAGATATCATGGATTAAGGCTGGATATTTGTTATTTATTCAGATATTAACCATTAGACCCAGCTGGAAACAAAGTGATATAATGGAAAGCTCTTAGACAGTGAAACCAAACAGACTTGCGTTCAAATCCCAGCTCTATCCTTCACTAGCGCTATAGGATTTATCTATTAACTCAGTCAACAAATATGCATTGCACAGCTAGTCTGGGCTGCAAATACAAAGGTAGACGTCAGACTAAGGTCCCTATTTCATGAAGGTTAAATGTCTGTGGAGAGAAGGAAATAATCAGATAAAGGAACAAGATCATTTCAGACAATGTTAGATCTATAAAGAGTGGAAGGAGTGAGGACTGGAGTGGAAGGACATGTTTAGGGGGTTAGCGAAGATCTCAGAGCAGACGATGCCCCAGTTGAGATCTGAATGACATGCAGGGCCAGTCATGCAAAGGCTAGAATGGGGCAGATTAGTCAAGCAAAGGAAACAGCATAGTGGGCCCAAGTTGGAACAAGTCTGGCATATTTAAAAGGAATTAACCGCTCAATTATAAATAATTTTCAGTTAATGCTAGTGAGCTGTGTTTATCTAATATGCCTAAACTGAGTTTTGCTTTATCTCCTCATAGATACAGACACGCATATTTAATTTTAATACTCATGAATATATAAATTTTAAATATTCATGAATATATGTCTGCCACATTGAAAACATTTTAATAAAAACCAGCATTGAAAGGTGTTCCACAAACCTTGAGGATGTGCAGTAAAAAATTATATTAATAAAATGGCAGTGTGTCCAGTTGAGTCATTTATAAATATGCATATTCTCTGCATTGTCAATACAAAAATGTTCAAACATATAGGCTGGGTCAGAATTGTTGCACTACTGTAACTAGAATTAAGTGTTCATAACACACTTTCTAAAATTGCAGCTTAAACCTGTTAATTGTACTAAGCATAATCAAATTCATAAGCATCCCTCTTAACATTTAACTTTAAGTCACCCCTGGGTGATAACCGACTCAATCATACTACTTCATAATCATTGCCCCAATATTTACTAAAGCCTAAGCTACTTAACTCTTTCAAACAATAAGAATCCTGCACACCAAGAAAGCTACTTTCAAATATAATTCAAATCCAATAGGTAAAACCTAGCAGCTATAGAAAAGAAAAAAAACAGTTTCTAATTCAGTAAGAAATTACTAATTAAAAGAAGCCATCTTCTTTATTTAAAAATGCTAGAGATAAAATTAAAACTTGCCAACACGCATTATCTTCTCTCTCTGGGCTCTTTGAGAGCCACAAGTCACAGGGAAAATAAATCATCTCACTTCTATTTAGGCATCTCTGTCTTAAAATCAAAATTTTTAAAAAATAAATAAATTTGAGCAACAAAATAAAGTAGCATTGGATTATAATCCAAAACCTAAAATATATACCCATGAGTCCATACTAATATAAAGAAATTATCAAATAAATAAATAAATGAGGGAGAGCAGACAAACCTTCCGTGCAGAAAAATTTTAAATAATTGTCATATTCTTTCCACAAGGAGATTAAGCATAAATCTTCACTTCTTAAGTGTGGGCAACACATAGTAACTTCCTTCCAAAGAGTACAGTATGGAAAGTGGGCAAAAGGGTAATGACAGTGGAGACATCTGACAAACACTACCTCAGCCGGGTGATCAAGGTCAACACCAGGTGATCAAGGTCAACACCAATAGGCGTCAGTCATGTTGATGGTATGCACCCTGGATATGACGCTCTGAGAGATGATGTGTTGAGAGTGGTACTTTACCTCTGTGGCCTTCTTTCCAAAAACCCATAACCCCAGTCTAATCATGAGAAAAACAGGAAACAAATCCCAATTGAGGGGCAATCTACCAAATACCTGACCAGCATTCTTCTGTTTGTCAAAGACATCAAAAACAAGAAAAGTCTGAGAAAGTGTCACAGCCAAGAAGAGTCTAAGGAGACTTGATGACTAAGTATAATGTGTACCCTGGATGGGATCACAGAACACTAGAGAGAGCTGATTAAAATACGAACTTTAGCTTTAAAAAAACAAAACAATGTACATTCACAAGGCTCCCGAATGCTTTGAAATGAGCCTAAGCAAACCAGAAGGAAAACACACTAATTTCATTATTGATTTTCTTTTTTTAGCACAGGTTATTGCTAACTCAACATAAAACACTACCAATAACTGAGACGTAGCATTTGAGGAAAGCATTAAAGTTGCCAAAACTGTATCCTCATTAGGTGTTTTAAAAATTTACTGATTTAAATAACAGTGGAAATATTTGCAAGTGATCTATTTGGAGAAGCAAGAAAAGAAAGCTCAGGAATCTCCACTGCCCCCTAGGAACTGCTCCCCTTCTGTGGCACTATTCCGAGTGTGAACCCTTATAACAATATTAAATATTGGCAGACTTTTATTTAGCACATACTATGTACTAGGAACCATATGNTCTGTGGCACTATTCCGAGTGTGAACCCTTATAACAATATTAAATATTGGTAGACTTTTATTTAGCACATACTATGTACTAGGAACCATTATAAGCCCTTTATATACTATATAAACTCATTTAAGCCTCACAGCATCATCATTATTATTATCTCCATTGTACTAATGAGGCAATTGAGGCACTAAGAGGTTAAGTGACTTGCCCGGTAACCAAACTAGTGACAGAGCCCGTTTTTTTTAATTCAGGCAGTCTGATGCCAGAGCATACACACTGGTTTTCTAAGTGGACTGCACACCGTCCTCACTTCTCCCCTGAAGCCTCTATCTGCGCTGCTGAAATCTGCCCTGAGCACCTCTCTTGCCCCATGCTGAGTGCTCCCTTTTTCAGCCACCACCACCAGCTTTGGGAGAATTTAGCAGGACTTCGGAGTAGGCAAATCAGTTTCCTGTCTGTAGAGGTCTTCGGCAAGCAGATTCCGAGACAGTTTCGAGTGCCCCAGGGAACGACGCCTGCGGAAGGAAGTGGTAACAGCACAAATGGGCAGAGGGAGAAGCCAAGCTGGGCGCAGCCCCAAACGACCTCAGCAGGCTCTACGGGGGCTCTGGGTTTAAGACGGCCCTTCGAGCCATCTTCAGGTGGGCCGAGCCGGCCAGGCTTCCTGAGTCGCATAATCACCCTACCTGAGACCCACCACCGTCAGCACAGAAGGAACCAACGCTTCTTTCCCTCTGGAAGACGAGCCAATTCGCGAGCACGTGCGCTGGGCCCCCGTAGTTTGGCCCAAGCAGAGCCCATCCGGAGTAGACAGCAATCAGTGATTTCATTCGACAGGTCTCTCCCTCTCTACCTACAGGTCAAACATCTACTCTGAAATTCCACCACTAAAAATACATTCTTTTTTCTATCCTGAAGCTTTTTTGTTACCAAAAACTTTTACTAAATGGCAAATACCCCTCCAAAAAGGCAACATAGAGCATTTTCAGCTAATCTTAGTGGAACTTAACTGATTTTAGCTGAAAGTAAAGAACAGAACATTTGGAAAGAGAAATGAGGCACTAAAAGAAGTGAGGGGGTGCCAACACATAGGACCTGACTTCACAACTTTACTGCAAGTCAGCCCCGCCCTGACTTCTCACAAAGAGGCTATTCCCTTCTCTTTTCCTGCCTGTCATTTCCGTTCCCTCGGGCCTCCAGAAAACAACATAAAGACAATTCATGGAGCATCATGTTTCATAATTGCATTGTAGTTTATGAGACAGAGTCTAATTGTTTCTCTGAAATTGATCTCTTCCATTGGACAGTGTTTATTCCTTCTTAGATCTTGATTTCTGTGGCATAATGCCAGGAGAAATATGCCTAGAGATATCTTTGACGCAAACTTTAGTCCTAGCAGATCGTG